GCCCCTCTTCACTCTGGTGCGAAGGTGCCTTCTGCCTACAGTATTTCCTCCCTCCTGCCGCCCCTCTTCACTCTGGTGCGAAGGTGCCTTCTGCCTACAGTATTTCCTCCCTCCTGCCTTCCCCCCCAAGGCTGCCCCATGGTGCACAGCGCTTCCCCTAGCAAACATGATTCGTTTGAGGCCCTCACTTCTCCCTGCCTTCTCGCACAATCCATTGAATTTCCACAGTTCTGCGACTACATATGCTGTGAAAATGCAAGTCAGGGCAGTGGCTAATATCTGGTTAATTCTTTTCCTCCCGTGGCTTCGAGCTATATTGCATGTAGTTGCAATATAATCAATAAATATTGTTTCAGGTTATTTCTTTGGTATAGATGCAGGATTACATTAACAATATAGAATCCTCTGAATAATTTTAGAATTGCTATTTTTAGAAAACTTACTTTTCAATTTATTATTTAGATGCATTATTTCTTCGTATTTCCAGATCATTTTCAAGTACTTCCATTGAGGTTTTCTGAACATCTAGATTTATACAACCCAAACATACCTGCCTGGCGGGCGGATGTTGGTCATGTGGTAACACAACGGATTGCCCAGGTACTCTGGTTATGGATACCTCCTTCTCAGATTGTAAACTAGAAAATTTAAAGTCATTAAAGTTATCACTATGGCTGAGGTTGATTGTGCTTTAGAGGATTGCTTTAGATAAGTATAGATGGGGCACCAGACTATTTCTTACTACTGCTTTATTTTTAAAAAATTGAAACGTTTCCTAAATTGTAAAACCTTTAGAGAAAAAGGCCATCAGCTTTAGATTTAGAAGGGTATCCCATAAGATGCATACTTCTGCTCTTAGCTTTATAAAGAGCAAGAACGTTCATATTAAAATTGGGTTGATGTTTTTAATCTGGGTTTTGTGTATATTACATGCCTACATTAAGTTTACATTTTTTTCTTATTTTTAAATTGAGAGGGTTTTTATAATATTAATAATAATATCTTTTGATATTTCAACCATAACTGTAAACTAGTACTGTAATCCACTTTTGTCAATGATTGCTGTTGATCAGTATGACCTTTGACTATAGTGAAATAAATGGGAAATTTAGTGCTTCGTACTTCTCCCACAGCAGTTTTGTCCACAATGTCTTAGCAGTACTATCTAATCATAAAAGCATTGGAAGCAATATTTTCAAATATTTACAGATAACTTGCATACTTAACTGTTCTGAGAGTATTCAGCTGGCTTCAGTGCAAGAATTATTGTGATCTGAATAGTGGTTAGATTTTAATTATGTACACATTTACCATGAATTCCTGACAGCTGGAAGAAGTTGGGACCTTGCCCACATTTGCTTGTTTCTCATATGAACATTTTACATGCCAGATCTGTTTTCAGTGAAGCTGCATAATTTGGGCTGTCATGTATGCTAGACCTGAAATTGTGACATATGAATTAGGGTTCAAGTAACAAAGGAAGTTATAAAAAAGTACATAGACAAATGAAAGCCACTTTCTCTTGATGAGAATGCCTTGGTTTTCCTAAATATTTCTCATTGGTCAGATGAGGATGCTAATTATAAAAAAACAAAAACTCAATGGGATAGTTCACAGAATATACGGCAGTGACTTTTTTTATTTATGTACCAACTGTGGCCTACTGCACATCCCCATATTTTGCATCCATCCACATACATTAATGCATCAGATTTAGCATCATCTTACAAGAATTTATTTAAAGTACTTTTAACCTCTTTCTTCTGCCAAAAAATGTTTTAGAGCAGCTTGAAGATATGAAGAGCAATATAATCCCTGTCCTTGGCCTATTCATTAAAATATGATATAGAAAGGGAAGGAATAAGGAAAGGATGTACCTGTACCTCACACCTATACCATTTTCTGTATTTTTATACTTATATCTATATTAATTTTTTAAATGCATGTGTTAAAATAAAAAACATATTTTATAATACTGTGATACATAGCCATTATAAAAATCTCAAAGCATTAAGAACTGGTGATTGACTTTTCTATTTTCCTTTTTCCTTCCATCCCCTTCTCTGATTGTATCATGTCTTCTAGATTATAAGCCTGAGAGCATGGAATGCATTGTTTATTTTGTAAGCCACTCTCGGAAACTCTTAGGCTGAAAAGCAGTATAGCAGTGTTTTAAATAAATAATACATATATTTAATATGCACATGTCTGTAATCATATTTTAAATTATAATTGCAAATTCTTGCATACTTTCAAGTCCCCTTGAACACCTGAGTATGCATAATTCAGGCAGTGTATTGAATATTAACAGTTGGGGTAGGTGGAATTTATTAGGCAGCACATAGGGCTGAAGAAATTCTTCCAAAAAAGTGCCTTGTAACATGCTGGAAAGTGTATGAAGGACCCTCTTTGAATCATTAAAGCAGCTGGGAAACAAGTGAACTGAAGTATACACAAGGGAAGACAGCTGGAAGCAGCTGTATGCGCCTGGGAAAAGATAATGGCTGTTTTAATAAGTCAAAGAGAGGTCTTTGTATATTTTCCTCTGTGTTGGCAAAGAACTTCTTTTGAAAGATTGTCCTTGTCCTAATAGCAGTACCCCAAAAACTGGCATCACCAATCTAAGCTTTTGGGAAACTGCAAGATAGCTGGATCTAATATGTAGAGTTTTGAAAAAGCATTTTTATAAATACCTCAGATTTTTGGTTATTTCTGTTAACATCTCTTCCTCCTTCTGAAAGAGTGTTTTTTTTATTTTGACCAAGTAATGTGAGGCAGGATGCAGTTTCTGTACTTATATCTGGCTAAAATGTTCCCAAAACAAAATAGATCAAATTCAAAGCATATGAAGCTAGTCATGCAGATGCAATGGTTTTTCTCCCTTTAGGAAACAGGCTTACCCGAAGAAAGTCTTGTGACTGTGATAAAACCTGGGCTACCCACCACTGCTGACTTTTATGTGCTTCTGACTACAAACCATCCTCAAGGAAAGAAAACTGTATTTAGTGATAAGGTACTCAATTAATGTGTATTCATTTGTAGAAGTGTTGTCCCTGCCTGCATCTCATTCTTAATCAAATTAATGGGAAATGGGAAATCTTTCTCTAATTGTAGGGGGATGACAGGTCTTAATCTGACAAAAGTGTCAACATTTTCTTCCACAAGTCCCAGCAGGCAGGATTTGGGAGGGGAACCTTCTCTTCAGTAGCCCCTTCTCTGTTCAAAAGATGACTAGGAACAGTTGCTACTTTCTTTATGCTGAATGGTAACAGGTAGCTCTCTGCTCAGAGAACACTGTCCCATTCTCTACATACTTTGTTCTTTTTCTGTAGAGAGAATGGACTGAATCTTTTGCCACCCAAGAGAAGGCAGAGAACCTTTGTTTCTAGCCTTCCTCTGAGCCAAGAAAAGCATTCCTTCATTCACTCGGAGGAAGAAGGAAGCAAGTGATAGCTTACTTCCTTTCACTAGGAAAAATAATGAACTGAGGAGGGAGTAGGATTTGCAAATAGGAAGTGGCCTTTTCCCAGGCCTCTAAGGAAAGAATGCAGAAATCTTGAGAACTGTATTGGCCATCCTGTGAAGATTCCTGGTTCTTGCTTTAGTTAATCCTAAAGTGCTTTGGAAAGTGAATCTACCATTACATGGTCCCTCTAAGAGCCAACTCATGCTCATCACCATAGCACAAGGGCTCTTTCTGTGAGCCTGTGTGACGAAGTGCACATAAGGTAATGGTTCCATACACTTCATCATGGTGAGCTGCAATACTAGCATGCAAAGCAATTCGTTCCTCTAGACATCCTACGCTGTAGACAGCTGACTGGTGCAGAATGCTGCCTGAGTAGGCTGTATGCAATAAGAATTGGCCCTAGATTCTTGTGGCCACTGAGTTATTTTCTGGTTACTTACAAATCTAGTCTTTGAAAAGGTATGATGAAACAGGGGAAAATTATATGCCTATAGACATTCTGCATTGGTACAAATAGCAACCCAACTTGCCTTAGGATTTATTTTGTCTTATTTTTAGACAGGTGAAGCATGGATTACCCAAAGTGGCTGGATTTGTGATCCTCTGTTTTTGGTTTATTCAGGAATACCTTAATTTTTGAAGTATTAGAATTTATTGTCTGGAATCCTCATAGAAGGATTCGAAATAAGGCGGGGACAGATAAGAATGAAAATGGCACTCTTCCAGTAGCCTTTTTCTTGGACTTGCCCCGGAAGCTAATCAGCTTGCAGATGGGACTGATGGTCTGGAAAACAATACAACCAAATTCAGAAAGACCTTTGTGCCTTTCCCTGGCACAAAAGAATTCCTTGGAAATGGAATGGATGGATATTTGCCCTAGGAAAGACTTTCCAATTTGTTTAATATTTTTGCCTGAATGGGAATATTAGAAATTTTAAAATGTTATCTTTTTAACAGTTTAGAGGCAAAGCTTCCATTTCTTTTTCTGCATAAGTTGCCTCTTCTTTATTGTTTTCTGTTTTTTAGGATGTGTGAGGCAATGCCGTCTCTCATGATTTCTTCTTTGTTCTAAAGTTCTTGAAACTTAACAACATTAGGAATGTGCTGATCTGCTATTCTGGCAATTCTTGAAGTAGAACATAGCTGACATTTTTCTTTTATTTCCAGCGAATAGCTGCTATTAAGCAATCTCTAAATGCCCAAAACATCAGTTTCTTCATGAGAGGAGGAAAATGGGTTCTTGTGATGTTAGGTAGCTCTGATTCAGGTAAACCTTTTCCTTTTCCTTTTTCTTTTTTTGGACAATTGGTAGAGTTTTCTCCAAGGAAAATATTTGTCTAATATTTAAGCGATACTAATATTGATGATAGATAATTCAAAATTCTTCTGTGACAGGAGTCAGCTTTATATGGAATCACACCAAATGAAGCTTGCAAATATTGTCTGCCCTGCATTAATTTTTTATTAAACCTGAGAACTGAAAGGGTAGATTATGAAACAGGTCCAAATGTAATTAAAATTAAGATACGTTTTAGCAAAGTCCAGGAGTTGGAAGGAAGTAGAAGGTATACATGAAAGCAAGACTCAGGTTGATATCCTCCAAATGTGTTGGATTTAAATTTCCAGAATCTTAAGGCAAAATATTGCAAAGTCCAGCACATTTTGAGAGTACCCACTTGGGGAAGGCTGATTTCATAGCTGCATTACTGTGAAAAAAGTATACTCCAGTGCAAGTTACAGTTTGGGCAGATAAATGTTTTGCAATGGTTTAGAAGATAATTCCGCTAAGGATTCAACTTACTAGGGTTTATTTTTAATTTCAGATTCTCAGAACATCAGAGGAGGCAATGGGTACTGGGCGATAATGGCTCTCTTTGTCATTTCACTTGTGGTTATAGGAGCTATCATCCTCTACAAGTTTAAAAGGCAAGTGATCTTATATATCTACAGGCTGAAGACTATTATTTATTATTTGTTGTATTCACAAATAATCACCTAAAACGAAAACAACCATGAATTTAAGACAATCCTCCCCCAAAAGAAAGAGTAAAAAATATGTAAATGTAGATAAAAATTATGTTTTTTCCTGCTTTTCTCAGCTTTTCTGCCTTGTCAACTCCCACTAAAACAAATCCTGGATATTTCCACCTCTCCATAAGTGTGACAGATCTCTGTGTGTATTTATGTATGTAACTATGCCAAAATGGCATACCCAGGACAAAAAATAATAAATTAATAACTAGTGATTAAATACAGTTTTCTTGCCAACATTTTTGGGAGTGGTTTGCCCTTGCCTTTTTCTTAGGGCTGAGAGAGAGTGACTGGCCTAAAGTCACCCAACTGGCTTCATAGGACTGGAACTCAGAGTCTCCCAGTTTCTAGTCTGGTGCTTTAACCACTACACCAAACTAGTTCTTATACCTTAAGGCACTCTGTCTATAAAATTAATTGATCCACAATTTCATATGCCAACTGTTGTCTTGCACTCAGAATTATGTAAGTATACACACATATTTCCATACTCACCTCTTCCTTCCACCAGAAACAGCAAAAAAAGAAAAAACAGATGGGGATTGGATGAGAGGAAGTAGTAACTGGTCAGGGAAGAAAAGAAACAGAAGCTCTGTATAATCATTTAAAAAGGGTTAAAATCCATTTAAGCAAACAGACCCTCCCCAAAACTTCTAACCCCAGCTCACCTTCAAAAGCATTTGAACATTAATTTGGACATCAAAGCTGAATAGAATAAGCTTCAACTGGAGTTGGCCACCCTGGGATGACAAATGGGGAAGGTGGGTGTTCCACAGGACTTTTTGATTTGTTTATAATTTTTCTTTGTCTATTCTGAAATTTTAAATTTAGGGCCATCTTCCTTTTTGGGTAAATATGGTGTGAGAGCCTGGCATAATTGGTCAGATGATATGAATAATTATGACTAAATCCATTCTACATGAGCAAATAGAAGTTAATGTTTTCATTGAATTCATTTAAGATTTTAATTAAGAAAAATATTTTCATTTTGCGGTGTGTTCTCATGTTACAACAAAAGGAAAAGAAAATAGGGAAAGGTGGAATAGCAACTTTTTTATAGCAACAAGAGCCCTTGATCTTCAAGCATCCTATGCCTGTGAATAATGAGCAACAATGCCATTGGACTCCAAATCAATACAGGAAAGTGTTTTGAAGCTAGACATATACTTTACTAAATTTAAAATTCTTAGAATGATTCACTTCCCATTTGGTGACTTACATTGTTCAAAGATTACTGTGGGAATCCTTTTAAAGTTTGCTTACTGAGACAGCCTTCAGATAAAAAAAATGATGCTGACATGACCCAATGGTTTTGTACAGGATGCAACATATCCTAACATAGAATCCATCCTTTGGATTTTAAAGTTGTGAGAGCTCATTTAAACTGCTTGTGTGAATGATGAACTCCATCAAAGAAAAGGAAAGAATCGTCTACCTTTATTTGATTATTTTATCATTCTGTAACAAACTTAAGTCTTCTGGTTCTCAGTTTACTTTCCAGAACGAAGTTAATCTATTCATGTTATTGCCTTGCATACTGCTGCGATAGACAGATCACCATTCCTGCTCTGCTAAACCTAAGTTTCCCTGTATTCCTCCTTCACTACACAAAGAAATGAAAGACAGAGAACATTGGGGAGAGACCAGTTAAGAGAGGCACACGTGCACTGACCAATGTATATAAGATAAAGCTCATAAACCCAAATGAATTATGAAAACCGTATTAGAAGGAAAATCTTCAAGCTCCTTGTCAAACCAGAGTCCTTTCTTCAATCTTTTCCCATAAATGAATAAGGTTTCAAAGAAACTGAATTTTCACTCTGTCTTCAAGGAGTTTAAGTAAAAAGGGATTGTTTATTGTACATAATCCCACATCAGAAGAGACTAGCTTAAATATTCCAGACTTCTACTTCTGGGTCTCTGTGCAACATTAATATAGATACCTGCTGCTGGGCATTTTGGTGTGAAGAACTCCTCTCAACTACTGTGCATTTAGTCATCGCACTGGATTACATCCAGGAGCTGTTTAGTTTAGCAGCAGCAATTATGGTTGTTCAGTTTGTTACATTGCTTGAGCATGTCCTACTATATGGAGAAAAATCAGGGCTTTTTGCGTGCTTCTTCCTCCTTCAATTGACACATTTTTCCTTAGTACGTTGGTACAGTCTCCAAATGGATCTTTTCTTCACACCTCCAAAACTTTCACTACAGACCCCTCCAAGATAGGCTGGGAAGCATGATGCAATCTACATATATCTGTAGTTTGGTCATGTGACGATAGAATTTTTTATCAAGTCATGTAGTAAGCATTGTTGTTATATTGCAGTAGAGCAGACTTTCTTGGGAGACATGTTTCATTGTTGTTGGAGAGTTTTTGCAGTATGTTGTTGCTGCTGTTTACCCCAGACAGTGGTAAAACTCTGGCTGGATCAGCCAGATTGCATCTTAATTACTCCAAGTGGCCATGCCAGGTATTTTGTCCAATACTGTTCTGCTTGGTCACATACATCCATTTGCTGACCCATTGGGATCTAACTTATTCAGGTTAATATTCCATCTTTACTCATTCTGTGTTCAGCACATGGAGAGTTTCAGACATGTCATTGTTCCTTTCCCTTATTAAGAAGTGTTATTAGCTATGAATAAATCTTCTGTGATTTCAAAACCATTTGGGAGTTCAGAGATTTTCAAGATGCTTTCGGTGCCCATAAACCATCAAATAGGGAGATGATTCTTCCCTATTTTCCTCATAGTCTTATCAAGCAATTCTTAAAAGACTTCCTAAACTTCAGTCTCACACCTTTGTTTCAAAACTGGTCTTTGGCACATATGGAGCTCAGGTTGAACTTTGCAGCTTACTTCTGAGCAAGGAATTCTTGTTACAGAAGCATTGTAGATAAGAATCAACAGTACAGTTCAATAGCAGAAACAACTGGAGATTGAGGAAGGCCTTCTGTGCAATATTCCAGTTCCTTGAGATCTTCCGCTATCTGTTGAACAAATCAAGGCCTGCAAGATCATGGATAGGCTATGTAAGCCCAATCCCCAAGAAGTAATTCCATCTCCTGCCAGGTGAAACATGGCAGCTTACCGATAGAGAAAGAATATTACAAAATAATCTAGAAGACAGAAATAAAATTCAAAACTGTCTTGATATGTTGGAAAATGGGCTGAAAGTAACAGAATGAAATGTAAGAGAGACAAGTGCAATGTGTTGCTCTTATGAAATTAAAAAGACCAAATGGGGAGGTATACATGGCTTGATAATAGTGCAGTTGCTTGCGGACTGAATATGAGCTATCTGTGTGATGTGGCTGTAAAACAAAAACCAAGACTGCATCAATAAAAGTATAACTTCCAAGTCACAGTATGTAACTGTTCCACTTTATTTTGCTTTGGAGGCTTTATCGTTTAATCTGGGGAACTGTACCCCTTTTGGTATCATCTAATGTAGGCAGACATGTAGCCTAGAGGATTAAGAAAAGGAGAAGCATCAGATATTTTATGTTTATTCTCTTCTGATCCTTTTACCAACTGAATAAATCCTGGCTACTTTACTAGCCCATCAACTATAAGCCAACTTAACCTAAAGTCAGGCTAGACACCATTCACAACAATAAATATCAGCTCTCCAGAAACTCAGCCTCACATTCAGTAACAGTGGAAGATTCACACACTTGACATATCTACTGTATTTAAGTTGCTTTATTGCAGAAAAGAAAGAAGACATAATAAATATGTATACTATACTTACTGCAGAACTAAGGAATCAAGTCCTATGTATATGGTTGAAAACGTATTTTCTTCTTGGGTAATTATGCTGGAATAGCAAACAACTTCTGAAAAATGTTGCCAAGAAAATTGCATGAACTGGTCCATGTAGTCATCCGAAGTCCAGACTGACTTGAAGGCACACAAACAAAGAGATGATCAAGCAGGGGCTAATAAACTGAGATTCAATCTAGGAAAGACAAAATTACCATTTGCAAGTATTTCTCAGGCTGTTTACCATGTTATAATAGGGGGTATAGTATGTTCTTGTAAAAGTTCAAGTATATAATGTGGGGTATTTTGGATCCAGCAAAGAGACATCTGTGTGTCTTAGAATGCCTTTTTTCAGCCTAGGTATATGAACCAACAATGTGCCTATGTTTCAGAAACTCCCATTCAAAATAGGAAGGCTAGACAGCCTAGGACTAGCTAATATGATCACACTGTGCCAATGCTTTGCCATCTGCACTGGCAGCCTGTCCATTTTTGGACCCAGTGCAAAGTGTTGGCTTTAATCTGTAAAGCCCTAAATGGCTTGGGAACTGACTACCAGATGGAGTATCTCCTCTACCTTAAGATAGTCAATAAAAGCCATTTTCCAAGTATGCTTGCCTTTAAGGCAAGGCAGCTGGCAAAAAGAGAAATATCTTCAGTAACAGAGCCCTGCCAGTGGGATGCCCTCCCCCAAAAGTCATGCCTGCTGCTTACATATGCTCCTTTGGGTATCAGTTAAGGAACTTTTTACTTACCCAGTTATTATTACTTTTATAGTTTTTAATGATTTCACACAGTTTTATTGTTGATTTTAATATTTGTGGTTTTGATTATTTATTGCTATCACTATTGATGTAATTGGCTGGATTGTGTTTTTTTTCTGGGTTAGATTTTATGATGTTTGCCTTGTTTTATATTATGTTTTTGTAGACTGTGCAGTCCAGAGTACAGTACTGTAGTTTAGCTATATAGCAAACACAAAATAAATAAAAAGTTGAACCTCTTGAGCTTTTGATGACGTACTCGTTTAGGATGATGTCACTTTGGCAGCAGTTACCTCTGTTACCTCCAGTGAACTTTGTGTTCTGTTTGTGGATTTGCTGTATTTGATTATGGTGTCAAGTTGTGGACATCATTTTTCTACCTATCATGAGATCATTCTATCCCTTAAAATAGTCCATTATTCTACTTTTTCCATTGCCATCTTGTTTTTTGGAGGAGCTGCTTTAGACTCTGAAAGCGAGTGCTCCTTGGCATTTTACATGCAGAACACATTTTTTTAGAAGATATAGAGCTTCTTTGTCTGTTACAAGGGCCCAGGCTGCACATGTCCAGCATCATCTGAAAGGTATGACAGAGGCATGTCTGACATTAATTCACTAGCTTGCCTCCCTTTGTGAGAAATTATTTGGCAAACGTGGCTGCTGTTACACATGTCTTCTGGCTTCTGAAGAGCAGTCATCTTGTTGCAACCATATACTTTTGTGTGATGTTTCCACCTGGATTTGCAAAACCAGATCAGATTCATCTTTCACCAGATCTCTTCTTTAAGCCTGCTCTCTTTCCAGCAGTAAGTGATTTTGTTATTCATCCATCTGTTCGATGGTCAAAGACCACAAAGAACCCTTATCTTTATAGTTTGTTCTTTTAGTGACTATCTGTATATTAACAGTTTGCTCTCTTTCCTTCATCAAGGGCTCTATACTTAGTACTATACTATAGGCGATATTCCTTTAGTATAGGAATACAGAGTACAGAGAGGCTACAGCTATTGATTAGACATACTGTTGGAGGAGAGCACTATTCACACCAAAATATCACAACTCCAGAGAATTTTAGTTGAGCCTATATAACAACACAGAAACCAATTACATATGAATGCATAGATGATCACTTGAAAAATCAAAAGTTGTTATTACTGCAACTTAGCAACATTTTTTCACCCGAGACTCATGAAATGTTGTTAATGTTGTACTGGAAAAGACAGACCCTTGCTTTTTAGTAGAGAAAACTGTGGAATCTAAAGGAACTGTGAGCTCTGGCTGAACTTAATTCATGCCCCAAAGATGCTGCATTGTGTGCTCAAAAACCATAAATTTTAAGTTCCTCTGTAAAAAGGTAAATGCAGAGAATTGAGCAACATACAGCAAGAATTGTGAGATAACGATTTGAGTCCTGATCCCACTGCAGTCTTTACGATAGATTTGGCTGGGACATTTCCATCAACATCAGAAAGTATTTCATAGTAGCTCACTGGAGTCTGAATGAAAACATATGCATCCATATCTGCAATGGATGCTTCGACCTATGGTGGAAGGCACTACAATATTAAAAAACTGTCTTATGTTCTTAAGGAAATTACCAGGGAGAAGTGTCTATGCTCAGATGCAAAATGAAAAAGAACAAGAGATGACCAGCCCTGTAAACCACAGAGAAGACACCCAAAATACCCAGGGGGAGGAATTCATTGATGATGACCTTGATTGTCAAACACTAGGAAATGCAAGAGGTAAATTCAGATTACCTTTATGAAAATAAAGTGTGCTTCTACTTGATATTTAAGATGTTCCTATGCCAAATAATAATATTGACTTCTATCTTATTTCAGCTTCCACAAAACGTGTTCCAGCCATGTCAGATCATTGGCAATATGTTTAAGATCCAAGTGCTGGGTGAAAAAAATAAGGAAAATTGTAATGATTGCAATGATTACTGTAAAGCATGATGCCATGTGTGTCTGTTATTGGAGTTTTTAAAAAATTGTACCTAGGCAGAAATAATTTACCGAACTAAAAGAATATTCAAGACTGAATTCAAATTTGATCGTGTTAAATGTTTTAAATATATACGTTAACTAATGGAAGCAGGCACACTTTAAAAAGAATGATCTGACAAAATAATGAATAAGTGAGGGGTAGGGGGAGCATCCTTTACCATTGGATGTGCTGGTTGGACTGCTAGGCAGTGCAGTTCAGCAGCATTTCTGGGGCACGCAGGTTCACCCCTCTGTTTTAAATGAGAGGGCAATTCCCCTTATATTCCCAGTGTCTCTCATCAAGTGGCCTTTCCTAGCTGCTTCACAAAAGTTAACTACTGTAAAATACTTCCACAGCCAGTTCCGCAGCCATGGATTGATACAATGTTCCTGGTTCCTGAAATTTAAATTGAACAAATTGGTGAAAAAAAAGCCTGAACTCGGACAAAGAAATACTAACCTCTCACAAGATTTGATTAAGACTGCAAAAATTCTGCATTTTTCCCTTTTTTTCATTTTTAAATCATCTGTCCAGTGCCTGAAAAGGTTGCTGATGCCTGGCCAATTATGATCTATGCTTTTGTGGTTTTGTGTGGGATTATTTTACCACAGATGAGTTTGAAACAGAGAGCTGAAGTAGCAATGGGAAGGAAAGGCACAGAATGAAAAACAAGCCTATGAATATCTTTAGTTAAGAGAATGTAAAATGGCTTTATGCATCTTGAAACCTTGCTGTTGGAGTGCCAGTTGAAAAAGAAGGTATTCTGTGGAATTACCAACTAGACTGAAGAGAAATGTAATAACATCTCAGAATAAGTTTCTAGAAATAACATAGAATAAATACAGTCCATTGTAATAAAAATATTCTAACCCTATGAAGAAGTTACATTATATGAAGTAGCAGCAATTCATTGCTGGATCAGTGTCCTATATTTTGATCTTTTAATAATAGATGTTTTATTTTTTACAAAATGTTGAAGAAAATTGCTGAGGTCAGTAGCAGATACAGAAAATGCTTGGGTCTAGAATGTATTGAAAAGGGTAGAATAATTTCCTAATCTCCCATTTTGCTCAGGGTAAAAATAATTTGAAGACAAAATTCATTCTGTTTGTATTGCCAGATAAATCACATTTTTCTGATAAAAGAGCCATTCCAGAATACTTTCTTTTTCTTTATGCCTCTTCATTTCTATCATATCTTCATTTTGCCAGCTGGAGCCTACTAGAAGTTTGACATGCATTCTCTTTATCCAAACCTACTGGTTTGCTATTGCTTCCACACTGATTCCTGTGATATCCTCTAGGACAGTCAAGCATAAATGGAGCATCCCTAATGGGATGATTAACTGCCACTATGCCACTATTGCATTTCAGATTACAGCCAGGAAAACCCAGGTTCAAATTCCTACTCATCATCTATAAAGCTCAAGGCTTTCACTCTTAGCCCAGCACAACCTCGCCTGCCCCCACCCAGGGCTCTTTCTGAATGTGTGGCTATAAGTCCCAGAATTGTCAGCGATGGCCATGCTACATGGACAATTCTGGAAGTTAGTCCACCGTTCAGAAGAGGATCCTGACTGAGGAAGTCTGGTCTAACGCACAAGATATTGTGAGGATAAAATGCCTTGGCTGCCTGCAAATGAACTTTTTATTTTAGGATCTTCTTAACAATGGAGAATTATTTTCTGCCTTTTCTTGCTAGAATTTTAAATGTTTGTGAGGAGGTCACTTAAATTCAAAAGGCCCTTTTGTCATCCCTGTTTCACTGATGAGATTGTTTAAGGCAGATTATTCTCTGTTCACAACATAATATGATGACACAAATGGAATTTTCTGTTTTCATAATTTTGGAAAAAAATTAAATGGCATATTCCCTGGCTCACCCATCCATTTCTGTTGTTTTTGTATATTTTATGTTGCCTACTTTATCGCCATCCCCACCTTGGGACTCCTCCACACCATTACCTTGCAGTGACTCCTTCTGGGAGAGGTGGAAACTTGAACAGCTACAGAGTTCCCTTATTGCTGATGGCAGTCAGTGTCCAGTCCCAGGTCAGTGTATGTTGGAGGAAGCCTGTGGGTCCATTCTCCTTTCTCACCTAACTCTCCTTGAATCTGGAGGCTGTCTTTTGGCTCAGAGCTGTAGGAATTCTTGAGGATTCAACAATGGCCAACATTTTCAGCATTGCACCTCAGACCTGCTGTACCACCATCTCATTGTGGTGGAATTGTTCCTTGAATAAAAGGGGGGTTATTTTCAATGTCCTACAATTTGCTAATCTTAGTGCTTTCTTTGTTTGTTCCTTAGGCAATCTCTCAGGCATGGTTCTGAGCATTAGTTCCAGGGAAATGCACAGTTACCTGGTTAGCTGATACAACTGAACCTAAACACAAGAATCTTCTACTGTGGGTCTCTCCTTTCCTCTCTGAAGAATACACTACTAGTGGGAAGGAGACTGTTTCGAAGATACAAACAGCCATGCATTACTTGGAAAACGAGATAATATGCTTTGTGTTCATGGCTGCTGACCTCAGACTAAGATAGCAGATCTGTAGCCCTAGGCATGTTTGCAACCACCTTGTCTGTCTCTGGGTCCCTTGGGTTATTTATGTCCACTTAATCAAACTCATTTCAGACTTCGTTCACTGTGGTGGCATCAGGCTGCCATTCTTAAGGCATGAAGACTAGTTTTAAAATAGTTGAAGCAGAAATGGGTGAATATTTGGGATTTTTTTCCTAGTAAAAGAGCAGCTTGGATCTGATATGGCACAATTCAGAGGGGGCTGCATTGAAGAGACAGGGTGATTACTCACTGGCATATCTCTTCAGGCCCACTGGATATCTAGATAACACCTTCTGATTCAGAATATAAACGCTGATGCTGATGTTAGAAAATGAGTGGAAGCCTTTTGTACTTGTACATATATCACCAAAAGAAGCTCTCTACTTTGTTTTGCTCCCAGGTCAGGTTCTTCCTATTCTGACACCCCCACCTTTCTGTCAGAGTGTCCCACTAGACTGCCTGTTAGCTTGCAACCCACATAATTAGACATTAAACAGCTTGGGCTGCCTTACATTTTCTTTAGTTTCCAGAACAGCAAGTGTAATTACTTTTTAAAATTTCAGTAACCTTTTTTTGTATCTTTTTACACTTTCTATTTTTATAGCTATAAAGGCATTCTTATCTCAGGATAATGCTGTCAAAGCAGCATATTTCAAATTTGCTATTTTATTCTTTTTCCTAAACAACAAACTAAAAATATCACTGCCTTGGATGTGTTTGACAATCTGGTGAATCAAGTTTAAGGATTAATTCCATTTAAATAATTGCACTTTTTCAATTTCATCCCTAAATATCATGCTTCATTTTTCGACTGGAGTTAAGCAAAATCTTACTTCTGTAGGCAGGAACTTATTTCTGTTGTTATTTAGAAGATGTGCAAGTTTAATTGTGTATATGCTTATTTTACCCCAGTAACTTCATGGAGCAAAAAGTGCAGTCAAACTGGTGATATTTGCTCAGAGAAGTCACATGTAGAAAACTAACCACAAAGTAGTGTAGAAATAGTACACACATAAGTGCACCTTTAGAGAGGGTTTCTGAATATCAGTGAACAATCCATACAAATCAGTTGTGCTGCACTTATTGTATGTATTAGATGACTGTCTCCAAGGTGCCAGTGAATTCTTCCCACTGAAAGCACATTCCATTTTGGGTTGATATATTTCGTTCTCGTGCATGCACAAAGACAAACACTGCAGTACTGTGTCAAGCACAATGCATTCAGGAACTGATCATTCCGGTGGATATGATGCTGCTGGAAATGAATGGCAACATTTATTTGCCACCTGCTCAGGATCTCTCTGTCTGTCTATGCAGCAGAGCTCCTAGTGGCCTGCACAATTTCTTATAAAAGAACAACATCTCCCCACTGCCTTACCTGTACAGAGAATATAATAGCGGTTGAAAAAAAGTGGAAGCCTAAATGCTTAAAGGAAGGAAGAGGTTCCTCATAAGGTTTTTCTATGCTTTGGTAGTTTGGGAATGTTGCATTAAGGGACTGAACGCTTCATTTTACTACTCATGGTATTGCTAGCACTGAAAAGAAAAAAAAATCTCCACAGTTTATGTGGTGAAAAAATGCTGGTCCACAGTAATTTGGAAACACGTTTAAAAAGTAACCCGAGCAATGCAGCAGGAAGGGCAGATCGCAAATCTAGACTCCATGTTTTTACCAATCTATAAATGATCAGCAGTAAAAAGTGTACATGTGCTGATTACAGCGTGAACATCTGATTTCATGGTTTTCCTAAAGTGAAAACCTTATTTCTAGCTCTGCTATTCCACAACTGAAGATAGAAAGAGTTAAATGAAGGGTGTTCTTGTTTGAGATGTGATTTTACTTTATTGCTGTTCAGCAAACTTAATGTTAGAATATCCCCAAATTCACAGTGTCTGTTTACTTGTATAAGATAGTGTCTGTTTTAAGGTGGGGGCATTACAGTAGTGTATATTATTTGTGGTTACTGTAGAGAGAGCTACAACTTCTTACTAGCTTCAGTGGAGGGAGCAGCTCCATCTACACGGATTACTGTTTTCATATTGTTAACCTTTATTGAAAGGGGGGACATTCACATCGATACCTTCTGGAACTTACTGCATGTATTTACTCCTACCTTCTGGGTTCATTAAAAGGCCCCTAGGTTTAATGTTGCAAAATTGGTTTTCCTCCTCGCCTCCTCCCAATAAAGAGATTTTTATTTCTGCAAATGAAAAGAGCAGGTTGAGATCTAGCCACTGCAAAGAAATTTCAGCCCAGATCTTTTGATATAACACTGCTTGCTCTGTAAAATGCCAGGGCAGTATTTTGAAGGTAACTTGCTCTCCTTATTGTTTGAAGAGCTGCTGGTTTCTGGTCTATGACTGTGATTGAGCCAACAAACAAATATTGGTCATTGCATCTGTACTCCTGAGAGTGAATAGAAGCAATACTGATCATAGGAATTTTTGTAGAACAAAAAGACTGGATTCTTTAATATTTTCTATACAGGTATCTCTTATACTGGCAGATTAGGTCTTGAGAGAAATGTTTGTTGCATCATTTGTAAGAAAATCACTTTGTACAGCGTTTTTATAACTGAAATAGACTGATACAAAAGAAGCAGATTTGATTGCAAGAGTCAGATTTTTTGTGACACTGACAGTTGTGAGTCAAAACTGGACTTGTCTTCAGAAGCAATATATTTCACTGAATGCCAGCATTTTTAAATATGGAGAAACAAAGGACTGGAATGGAGAAAAACTTTTCTTTTCCTGCTGGCTGTTTTCTGATGCAATTCTCTTCCTGCCTAAATATTCAGGTGTATATTTCCTCCTGTCAAGGATGCTTTCCATTAAAACACAACAGATATTCCAAACCATAAATCCTTTTTTGGTCACACTTCAATGTATAACATCTATTTTGCCCCTTAGTAAGAGCCAGTATAGATCTACAAATAGCAAACTGCATACTCTGCTATCCCAGAACAAAACCAGTTTTTCATTTTTTCCCCCAAGTCTGCAGAAGGATTGCGTCACTAATGTCACATAATGAAAATACACTACACCATACTATAATGGATGGACAGACAGACAGACATTACATTTCCAGGAATAGTATCTGTATATTTTATCTACCCATATAATGGAGAGAGATTCCAGACACATGCATAAAAGTAAACAGGGAGGAGAGAAACTTAAATGTGGCTTGTTGCAGTAAAAAAAAGGGTAAATTATGCTTATGTCAGGGAATGGACTAGTTGGAATCCAGATTCCCACAGCAGGTGCACCCGTCTTGGCTTTCCCCGGCTTTCAACTGCTCAGCAGGACAGTGAAATTTCTGACAGTGAAGTCTTCCTTGCTAGCCCCGCTAAACAAACTAAGAGGGAGGCCTAATAGGGCCACAAGGAATCCTGGGATCTTTTCTGTGTGCATGTTGGACACGTTTTTGAGGTGGGCAATATTTATGGGGTTAGGAGCCTTTGAAATTTCAGAAGGGTCGCAGGAGGCCATCCAAAAAGTAGGTGAAAATTACACCAATGAAGTTCAGCCATGCTTTTGTTGAATTTTAGTGGCAGGATCATGGAGTGGTGCTGAGGGCACATGAATTGCCCCCCCCCATTTTAAATGGTGGCTGTGGGCTCACAATGCACATGCCCACAATGAAGGCAAAGGTTGCTGCTCTTGTCCCTCTCTCCCTCCAGTTTGCCAGGGTCAAGTGTGGGCATTGCACCCTCTAGCCAGTCATCTTGTGCTTGGTGATTGTCAGGCCCAGCCCAAGAAACAGTAATGAAACAGTCCAGTCGAGTTCAGTTCCTTTACGTGCTTACACCTCAAAGACAGGATCTTGCCAGACTAAATCTATCCTACTGCAACTAGCGGATATACCCTGGGAAATTCTAGGGAGTGGCTGTCCTGAACCTCTTTCGCTTCCCACGCTCCCCCTGCGGACTATGTTGTCTTTTGTCTCCTTTCCCTTCCTGGAATGCACCCCCTCCTTCCTGATGGCCTTGCTCTCTGTTGCTATCCCCCACAGTGATACTGTGCTTTTATAAAGGCCTTCTAGGGAGAAAATACCATGTAAGAGTTTGCTGGTCCATAAATAATATACAGTCTGATAAATTCAGGGTTAGTTGTAGTTTAAATGGATGAACAAGTCACCTTTTCATTTTTGAAATGAGATGGATAAATTTAAATGGATAATAATTTTGATGAAAAATGGTGTTTTGAATGGAAGGTAGCAATTGAACATTAATTGGTTAAAAACTAGGGATAAAAGGACAAAGAATAGATAATTTGAGAAGACTGATAAAGTGTTAATGGGAACAAGTCCAGGTGAATGGGCTTTTAAGTGCCATTGATTATAGTGGGAGATTTAAGTATATACTTCAATCTCATGAGGAGACACTAATGGCACTTAAAACCACTTCAACTAGATTATACCTTATTAAATGTAAGCCCATGATTGCTCAATCAGTTGGTAAAAAGGATTATATGCAGCAAGAGTGGACCATACTTTGTAGTGCATTCGTGCTGTAAGTTTAAAATCCTAGAAAATAGAAAAATTCGATGTATAGTATACAAAACACAGACACACTTAATTTTTTCATATATCACTGTAATTAAGAAAGCAGTTTTATTTTACTATATTTAAACACAAGGTGGATTTGCATGCTTTCATCAGAAGAATATTATAAACATAACGAAAGTAATGTACATAGATAAAATAATGTCCAACTGAAACCAGGTGTACATAAACCAATGCACGTGAACCATATATCTGAAGTGAAACCAATCAGATTTACATACTTCCTGAAAGGCAAATATACGAACTACATGAATCAGTGTATATAAGAGAACAGAAAAGTTTTGCATGTCACAAAAAATTCCTACTGCTTACAGTACAGGCAAGTAACACTCCCTATGAGTAAAACACAAGTGGACACATGTACTTTCTTGTCTTGCAAAACCTGAATTACATCATTGAAATCTGGTAGGTCACATTTGATACACAGGATAACTAGATTATTTTAGATTTAAAATCTTCACCGCTGTAGCTGGACGCCATTAAGACCAAGCACAGGCAGCATAATTTCAACATTAGAAAATGTTGCTCTTAAGAATTCTTTCTCACACTGAGTTCAGGGATTACTTACCAATCCTTGTGCCGCAGAAAACTATATGGGCAGGAAGCTGGCCAGCCTCTTGAAGAGCCTCAGGCCCCAGTTCCCAGGTTCCCCTCCAAGAAAGCGAGAGCCCACCATGGCCTCAGAAAGGAAAAACAGAAATTTTAGGCTCTTCCATTGCACCCACCTTTATTGCTTATGTTTGCTGAAAGTTCAATGCCTTGTCTTTCACTGTTATGAGATACTTGACATGCCCACTGCTTTGGGGCCCTGCAAGGGTGTGTGTGTGTGTGTGTCAAAAAGGCAAGATGGCAGTCACAACTTCATGATCAAAGCCTCACCCGTTTGTATATAGATGGTGTTAACACACACACAAAAGGGGAAGGCTTCAATTGCATGGTCATGTCTTCCGGGCACCCACCCACACACCTACAGATGCCCCTTCCCCTATCCTGCTGTGGGAAACCATTTGTAACTTGAGTGCCATTAATAGAACATTTGAACATCTGTTAGGAGTTGCTCTTTTTGCTTGGCAGATGAACATCAGGGATGTTTCCGTTTGCAGTGCTTCCCTTCCCATTTGCAGAAGCCTAAGAATGTGGAGGGGGGAGGAGCTGAGTGGAGGTTTAATGCATTCTGGGCCAACCAAGGCCACTTTCATTACTAAAGTTTTCCTTTGTTCTGTGGTGCTGCTATAACTCCCAACATCAGTTTGACAAGTCTCTGGTGTAGATTCTATCTATTAACCACCTAGAAACAAGCATGTAAGAAAGCCCTTGGTAGTTCGCTGGTAAATCTGAGGGATACCAGAGATCTGGCCTGAGCAACATTTTGAAAACTGAGCAATCTAACACATTGGGTGTGGATAAGTGAGAACTTAAGCATCTTGTTGTGCCATTTTATTCCATTATTTTTCTGTGGGACTGAGGCACACCTATTTTGCAGAGGATTGTATGTGCTGTATATGCATACTTTGGGCATTAGCAGTCTAGGAGTGAGATGGGTGTATTTTTATGTTTTATTTTGTTACAAGTTACTCCCTTGAGCCTTGGGAAACTATGCAAGATAAATTATCTTTGTGAGATGAGCCAGATAGATGTCTCCAAAAGTTAAATATACAAAAAGATTGTAATGGGAAGGGCCAGGCACCATTCCATTATGCTGGTCTTCATTGGTGCTCTGAGAGGGACTTTCTGTGGGTTTTGTGTTTCCTGAAACAACAATTCTTATGGCTTATCCTTGACTCCCAGTGGGAAAATTTCCAGAGAAAGCTCAAGTTGATGTTCTAATTTTGGTTTTGGCACTTGTAAGTCCTGCCAGTATTAGTGCTATTGTTAGTCTATTCTACTTATAAGCCTTCCTTATTCTGAAGATTTGGGTTGGCAATACATAAAAAGGCACAGTTCTATCTAGACCACTTTTTGGTTCATCCAAAAGTTCTGAGGCCTGGACTTCTTCTGGTCTGCAGGAGTGGGAATTCCCTATCTTGGAACATGGTGATGCTTTTCCATGCTACTTGAATGTGGAACTTGAGACTCTCCCTGTTGATAATCAAAATGAAGCAATCTCAAATATATGTTGAGTTTGAACTATTTATACATTCAAACCTTGATTTCTTTTTTTAACCTGAAAATAAGGATGCAGAGCGGATGCTCTCAATGTGCTCCTTGTAACTTGCCCCATTAGTACATTCTGCACTAGAGGATATGGAAACAAACATGTAAAGCATATTGTAGTAGTCTAGTCTCAGAGTTTTGAAAGATGGTTGCCAGATTCCTATCTGTTTTTTTTAAGATGCATTCCTCCCTTATAAGATGGAATTGAAGGATGAAGGTATGGCAACAGCCCTTTGATTTTGTTTTATGAACACTGAGCTCTCCTAGGGCCTGGGCTTAATAAACAGCTGGATAGGCAAGAGTTAACTGAAGGTGAATCAGCGCCTAGAAGCCCTATGGTTATAGTTGATTAAGACGGTACTGCATGTATGGGGTTTAATTTTCTTTGAAAGAGCAGGCAAATAGCTTGGGAGTTTTACTTAATCCAGCTTTGCCACTTAAGGTTTTGCTGGCCTTCATGTTCCCCAGCTGCAACTCTTAATGAAGTAAAATCATCCAGTCACACTAGTCTCTGCTTGGGTAATCTTCCAGTGCTTTATTAAAACACAGAGTGAGATGCCTTGTTGTCCAGTTTTGCTGAACTGCAATTCCCAACATAGCCAGTAGTGATGAATGCTGGAAGTTGTCCTTAACCTCTGAAAGTAAACAGGTGCTCCACCCTTACTGTATTGGGTTGCATATGCAATTGGCCTTGACGATGAGCCAAGAGTTTCAGCTAGAACAGAATGGACCGGCTAGACTGTCAAGAAGTACAGCCAGATTGGATCACATTAGATCAGTCCAGAGGGAGCTGAGCTGTGCTGGATGTTTCATTACTCCAGACCCACTTCAAGGTCTGATTTTAAAACTGCCTTAAAAATGATGCAAAAGGCCTTTTTGGGCTGAAATGCCTGAAGGAAAACACTTCTTCCCATACCAGCCAGTTTGTACCCAAAACCTATCAAGGAGTGACAGTATTGAATCTCACATAAAAAGTACCTTTAGAAGTTTCTGCCATTTCATCTCTTTTGACTTCTCATTCTCATTCTCCAGTATGGTCCAGTATTGACAGGAAGAGCTGCAGCACTTAACCATGTCTGCGTAATACATGCATGGCCAGTGATCGCATCCAATATCAGTGGTCCATTTCTCTAGGGATGGGAACCCCGCAGCATATGGACCAGTACCCATTTTGTGGCCTCTCATCCACCCCAAACCAACCCTTGGATTGAATTGCAGCCAAATGTTTAGTACTTTTTGCATCTTGGTGGGGGTTAATGAGATGACCCAGGTGCCTTGCAGAGGCCATTTCAGTCCTAAAATATCCCTGAATACTCACAAGAAATCAGGCCAAATGTTTCTTTTGATATTTAAGGGGCAAAACAGATGCCCCAACTTAATTCCTTAATTCCTCCCACCAAAACAAAAGGTTTACAAATTGATGTCACTAGTGTATTTGTTAGATTTATATCCCATCTTTCCTCAGGCACGAGGCAGCCTACACTGCACTCTTTCTAATTTTTCCCTAAACAGTCCTTTGAGTAAGTTAGGCTGAGAGAGCGTGACTGGCCCAAAGCTACCCGGTGAACTTCCATGGCTAAGGAGAGACTAGAATTTGGGTCTCTCCAGTCCTAGTTCAACACCTTACAAACTATACCACACTCTGCAGACCTTGTTTGTAAGGAAGTTGCCCATCTTTGCATTAAGTAATACTAATCTGTGCTTAAGGATTCCAGGAACTGTAATCTCTCACTACTTTTCTCTACTAGTCATATAATTGATTCTCTGTCCTAATTCTTTGTACTTTCTCTCCACTTCCAGGGTCTAATATTTAACATGCTGGGCTCAGATTGTGAGCATGTGAAGGCTCTTAGAAATCTGGCAGGTGAGAGAGGGAAGATAGGAGTTTGTCCCAGTGAGTAGCACTTAAAATATTTATGTTCCAAGAGACCTTCCTACCACCACTAAGATCTTATGCATGTCCACCATGTAGCCTTTAACTGTGTGCATAAAAGAAGGAGAGGCAACTATATAAACAGATTTTCCTCCCAAACCCCAGCTCCACTGAAGTAGCATTTTCAGAATTCTACTTCTGGAAGTATCTCTGAAAATGTCTATCCAAAGTTGTTGGGTTTTTGTCCAATATCATTCAGCATAGTTTGAACTTAGATTTCCTTCAGGCTGCAGTTAATTGAATGTACCCTAAATTACA